ATCTATACTCATTTTCTATGCTAAACTTTTCTCTGCCTCTTATTCTTTTTGTATTTAGTTTATTCTGGCCATCACCCCTGTCTAGTCCTAGTTTAAAACTTCCCTTACAGCTGATTTAGTAGTCCGAGCAAACAAGCCAGTCCCTATCCTATTTAAATGTAAACCATCCATTCCTTCTCCCACTGAACTGATCCCACAAGTCCAACCTGACAAAATTAAGTTATGGTATTTTTCTTTAAATGCCTTTATCAACTTCTTATACTTATTAATTAGCTCTTCTGACCTACCTTTCCCTACATCATTAGCCCCCTAAGTGCTAGCCCCCTTTACTATATCTCCTGCTCTGTCAATTATATCCTACACCTGTGCCCCTGGGTAGCACAGTCTAATTCTTTTCTCCCTATTTATCCCATAGACTATCCTATCCACATGCCTTGTCAAGGAATCACCTATAACTATAACCTCCTTATCCTCCACATTCTTTTCTGTCCCTTTTGTTATTCTTCCTTTCAATAATTCCTCATTTGCAGAAGCCAAGGGATGAAATCTGGTGCTCAACAGAATAGGCTCATTACAATTAAATTCACTACTTTTAGTCTTAATAGTACTCTTTCTTACTTCCTGAAAGTCATTGTTAGCTGATGTATTCCATGCATATAAAAGCTTAAACTCCTCTTGAAATCCTGTTGCCACTTCCCACCATCTACACTTCATTTTATCTGTTGCCTCTACCTTAATTAGGATATCCTTCAACCTACAAATTGTACATCTTCACTACTAGCTTCTTTAAAAGTACATGTCAGTCCCAAGTGATGACGTTTGTGGATTGTACATGACTGACGAAAGTTTGTAAATTTGTGAAAGTGTTTCCATGGTTTGTCATAAGTTCTGCTCGGTTAAGAAATGCTTGGATCAATTTATGTAAAGTCAAACCTTTAATGGCTCTTTTGATTTTAAGGGGTCATGTGGGCAGACACTTTTTATGAGCTCGCTAGCATTTTTGTGGGCCATTGACTTCCTGGCCCTCAATAATTTTGAGTCATGAACTATAATCATTTCCTGCTGACTGTAAAAGACAGACACACCATATCAATTTTAAAAAAAATTCAGCTTGCTTATAATTTGGGCATGATATATTTAATGTACGGCAGTTATTGTAAAGACAGCGAAACTGTGTAACGTGTTTGTTTTAATCAAAATAAAGATAAAATAAAGTTTTATAAAATAAAAAGTTTATATGCAAATTAAAAATATATATAAGACACAAGTTTTTAATTAACACTTAAAATGGAGGTAAGAGATTTTTAAATGCTTTGAAATAATTTCAAAATTTATTTGAATACGACATAATCTCTAGAATTCTGAAGTTTCAAAATTATTTCATCTAGTAACTTTTCCTTGTGCAGTGTAACAAACCATATAATAGTTGCATCCAATCAATACACCTGGGTATGAAGGAGTTTATATATTAAATGTATAGTTCTGTATTATGTGATATTCCATATCACAAATAGTACTGATTTTTATTTGCTAGTTTTTCATGCTGTATGTTATGAAGCAGGTAATAATGATTAACATTCTTTAATGCTAGTTGCACACTGTAAGGTTTAAAAGTATTGAGTGTAAGAACCTTAGCATACATAAAAATAAAGTTGAAGGTGATATAAATATATATACATATTATTTCTTTCTCTTACAACCCAAAGCTTTAGTTGTACAATAGTTTGTGTTAAAGTAACAGCAGTGTGACATGATTTGGGATTGCTGTAGACTGCTTCATACTCAGACAGTTGTGTGTAGCTGAATGATACTAGCTGATCAATGTTTGTACTAGGCTTACCACAATAACAGAAAAATAAATTGGAAACTACATCTGAGGATCGGCTATCATAATTATAGCATTACATGTTTGTAATCTTATAGCAGAAGGAACAAGGAAGCTAGATTTAATGAGAAAGTTTGAGTGTTTGTAATATTTTATGTCGAGAGAAACTATGAACAATACCATACGACATGGTCTTAACTTCTATTGACAGAGAATTAATAATTAGATAGTTTTGTATTTGGTGTAGGCTCATATGGCTCAAGATGAAGCTGTAATGGTCAGAATGGCATATGCTGAAAATATAGCAGTTTTAGCAGAAACAGCTCTATGGTAAGTTGTAAATGTTTGTATATATAGCTGTGACACTTTCCAGCAAGGGTATCAATTATGTAATAATTTATACCAAAAGAGATATTAAAAATCTATAATAACAATTAACAATAAGTGTTCTTAATTACAATTAACAAACAAACTACAAAAAGCTTCTTTGACCACATTGCTTTGTCATCAGTTGGGTACCCTTGCTGTTAGTTATCTATTTTACTAAGGCAAATGACATCATTAATATATTTAAAAATCTGCCTTATATATATATATCTGATAAAATTAAACTATAATTGAAATGCTCATATTTAGAATTTAGTTCTCTGTAAGTATTATTAAGATTGAGTTTGGCTAAAATGAAAACAATAATCCAAACTACTAACCTTACATTAATTTCAAATATTTGGTACCCTCTAAAAATATTTACCATGTGTATTAAGTGTTACCTTCTGATTAACAATTTTGTTGTGTTTGTTGTATCCCAGAGGAGAAATTTTTCTATCTGTATAGATAAAGCTGGTTAACATACAAAACAAAGCTGAAAATCTGTATATTGTTTTTACATGTTTACTACTCATTTGTAGCTAAAATGATTTATGAGTGTATTTTTATGTACTGGTGTCAGAAACTGTAAAATTCCACTGACTTCCATTTTTGTTTTAAAAGTTTTAAGCTGCTGAAGCTAACAAATTCAGAAATATATCTTCTCAAACCTGGGATTATTTTTTTATTTGCAATATATTTGCCACAGAGTTTCCTTTCTTCTATATTTGGGATATCCATATGTACAAAAGTAAATAATTTGTTTGTATGTGAACTATTCCATGATCTTTGGTCAAATCTCAACCAAACTTATTAGGATGATGCATTGGACCAAGGGGCATATAATAAAAGTTATTACCTAGCCACACTCATCCTGGGCTACCCCCACAGCAAAAATTTGTTTGTTTAGCTAATAACTCCATAGTATTGGGTCAATTTTCATTCTTAAATTTTTTATTTTAATTTTTTTGAGTTTTTCTTTGAAAATTTTGAGTTATTTCATTGCTAAGAAAAATGGCCATCAAAGCATGGGCAGACCCTTAAAATTGTAGGGCTACATACTTGCTTTTTACATGGTCAATTTTATATTGGGTGTTCAAGAGTAAGATCACCAAGAAATCTCTTTATTTTGGCCTAGGAAGGAGGGAGGGCTTCTAATGTGGCCTATCAAGAAGCACTCAGGGTGTTTAATGTAATCAGAACACCATTTCTTTAATGTGGAATAAAGTAAATAAATTATGTAATTTATTGATTTAATTTATTAGTTCAAGCTCTGCATTTAACCCTTATGACTGTAGACATAGGATGGGTGCCCCAGTTTGTATAATATACTTATAAATTGTTTTGTATTTATGGTATGATGTGTAAAAATAATGTTATTGGTTCCTTGCTTCTTATTTTATTTTGTTCAAATAATTACTTTGGCAGTTCCTTATTGCTTTACAAAAGCTCACAATTGGCATAAAATTAGAGATTAGCAACTTTTCTGGTTGCAGGTGTTGCATAATTGATATGAGGCTATAAGGAGTTAAACTCTACATAGCAAATTAAACAAACCATGTTTCAGCTAAAGGAGTACGAAGGGAACTTCTAAGAATAACGTATAGTCCGATAAATACTGTGTGTTGATATATTAGTTTTAATTATATGTATCAGATATTTTATTAGTCTTTAACATAACATCATTACGACTGTGTTTGTATCACAATGAAAGCAATTTTTTTTATAAATTTGAAATAAATAAATAAATTTGTTTTCATATTATGTAATAGAAAGTTCCATTTTATATATCTAATACATTTTAACAAATGTGATTATTAGGTGGAATCCACTAAGGAACAGTGTAATGTGATTATTAGCTGGAATCCACTAAGGAACAGTGTAATGTGATTATTTGCTGCAATCCACTAAGTATAATTTTTTATTACAGGATATTTAGTAACAAATACAGTAGACTAGCATAATGGCATGTGATACAAACCAGTGTTAACAATATAGTGATTTTCATTTTCCTCAAAGGGAAAAGAAAAGTAGCTAAAGAAGATAAAGAGAAATATATTGAAAAATGAAAACAACACTGTTCCTTAGTGGATCCTTTGCTGGAATCCACTAAGGAACAGTGTAATGTGATTATTAGCTTAATCACATTACACTGTTCCTTAGTGGATTCTAGCAAATAATCACATTACACTGTTCCTTAGTGGATTCCAGCTAATAATCACATTTACACTGTTCCTTAGTGGATTCCAGCTAATAATCACATTACACTGTTCCTTAGTGGATTCCAGCTAATAATCACATTTCACTGTTCCTTAGTGGATTCCAGCAAATAATCACATTTCACTGTTCCTTAGTGGATTCCAGCTAATAATCACATTACACTGTTCCTTAGTGGATTCCAACTAATAATCACATTACACTGTTCCTTAGTGGATTCCAACTAATAATCACATTACACTGTTCCTTAGTGGATTCCAGCTAATAATCACATTACACTGTTCCTTAGTGGATTCCAGCTAATAATCACATTACATTGTTCCTTAGTGGATTCCGCAGTGTTCTAGGTAAAAACTACATTACACCACTGCTTATTGGATTCCACAAATAATATTTCAGTTAAAAATTACATAACACTAGTAGTACTTAGTTAATTCCACAAACAATATACAATAACTTGAAAGTTCAAAACAGCTAAAATGGGATATAAAAAAATATATAATTTAAAAACAAAGTTTCAGGTATTCAGCACAATTGTACACAACACTTAAGTACATCTAATTGGTGATGTAAACCATATCACCTTGAGCTAGCATAAGTATAAACCTACTCCTTGTGTTTTATTTATTCAAGGTTTGTATTCATTTATTAAAATGGCTTCTTTTATTTTATGTTTATTAATATTAGATTCTCGACAAATAATTTAAAAAATTTTATTTTCATTACAATGTTCTGTATCTTTAAAATGTTGGTAGACAGGTGACAGAGCATGTCCATGTTCTGTTTTTCTAGTACTTAAATTTCTACCATTCTCCCCTATATAGAGATTATTACAGAAATTATTTTTTTCAATTCCATTTTAGCTGTTTTTCAATTTTGTAAAGTGTGGGATACTTCCAACATTTATATTTAAATCCACAATAATGGAACAGTACCAAATCTGTGGATACTAGTTTAGGCACTTTCACATGTAATCTTCAGTTGGATACTAGTTTAGACACTTTCACATGTGATCTTCAGTTGGATACTAGTTTAGACACTTTCACATGTGATCTTCAGTCAACATTTGTTTGTGGGAGAAACATATTTTGTAAGGGAAGTTTCAAGTTCTTAAATGACATATGACATCAGAAAGGGATTCAGCTTAAAGTGACTTTCAGATGTGTTGAAGTTTGGTAACCTTTGGATATTTGAACTTTTCATAATTCTTTTTTTAACATAATTTCTAGTTTTATATGTTATTTTGGCTTATTTCCAGTTGATTTTGTAATAAAAAAACCTTTTGTGTAGAAAAAGAACATATTTGTTTGACCATTTTTAACATACTTTTTATGTTCTGTGAGTTCGGTATCTAAATTTCTACCCATTTCTCCAAAACAAACGTTTTGCAAGTTTGACAGGGTAGTATATATATAGACACCCCGTTCTTTATCTTGAGGTGGAGACTTGTTCAAGGATAAGAAGTTTTTTAATATTTATAAACAATTCTGAACTTGTTGTTTTTCAGATGTTTCTCTAAAGCCACAACGTTAAAAATTGTAGTTGATACTAAGTATTTTATTTTTGCATGTAGGTGATTCTGTTTGTTGGTTACTGTTCCCAAAGAACATCTGCCTTTCCTTTTGATGGGTATTTTTGATAAATTCTATAGGGTACTGAATCATTTGAAAATTGTATAAATATTTTTGATCTTTTTTATCAAAGGTTGTAAGCTTTTAAAAACATTGATATTATAATTGATATTTATGGTGGCACAAGAAAAAGTGAATGTAGCTTAAAAGGTTTGTTGGTTTTTCTATAGATAGAAGGGCTGGTCCTCTTTCTGCTTCAGTTATGAGAATGTTTAGAAATGGAAACAATTTACTGGTTTCTCATTTAACTTTAAACTTAATAGCACTGCGAAGCTTGTTAATCTTCGGACAAAAGCTTGAATATCGTTTGTAGTATTTGACCAAACAAAAGATGTGTCATTATCATATCAGAACTTTTTATTCAGATCCACTGTAGGAAGTAATTCACTTTCAAAATACTCCGTGAAGATATTACATAGAATTGGGGATAAAGGGTTGCTCATAGCCATTCCATATTTTTCTTTGTAATATTGTCCGATGAATATAAATAAATAGTCTTCAACTCAAACTTACACTAGGAACATAAAAATTTTGACTGCCACAGGAAGTGGAATGCTTCATATAATTTCTTTTTTTGAGGCCTATTGATTCATCAATTGGTAAATTTGTAAACACAGAATCAGTGTCAAAGCTAACCATCTTTCCTTCATTTGTATCAGAGTTTTTTATTTGATTGGCAAAATCTATATCACTCACAACATATGACAAAGAGAACTTTCCTAGAGCAGGAGATAGATGTTGTGCTAGCCCTTTGGATGATGTTGGATAATGGATAATGGATAAACAAATGATACTGCATTGGAAATAACAGGTCTCAGAGGGTAGCCATCCTTATGAATTTAAGGCAACCCATACACATATAATAAGACAAGAATTCATCCATTTAAGATTTGTAAAAAAATCCAGATAACCAGATAGAAGTCTTTTGGGAGATTTTTTTAAAATTGGTATTTTCTTGGAACACTGATTATCCCTGAACTTCTGATAAGAATCTTCATCCTGCAGAAATTCTTCAGTTTTGTTTTGTAGGTATATTTATCCAGGATGACAAATTGATTTTTGTCAGATTTAGTTACTACATTATCCTTATTCTTTTTTAATTTTCTTAAGGCTTCT